AATTGCGCAACAGCCCCCCACCCTCAGCGATTTCATTCACTGTTTTCCTGATGGCTGAAATCCTCATCTTTCATTTTCAGCTTGTTTGCCAATAAACTGGTGGTGGTGGTGGTCGTGGTGGCGTGCGTGTGTGTGTGTGTGTGTGTGTGTGTGTGTGTGTGACTGTGTATGTGTGTGTGTGTGAGTGTGTGTGAGGGCCGTTGCATGGTACCACACAACTTCTGAGACCAATATATTCTATATTTATTCTTTACAGTCATACAGTCACACTTTTCAGTTATTAAAAAATTCCAAGATGGTGGCATATTCAAGTTGTATTCCATCTTTTGCTGATATTGAGTGATTTCAATAAATTTCATCACTTGAATTTCAATTGATTTATCAAGAAATGGGAATATGGGAAGTGCTTTGATGTAAAAGAGTGGAACGAGGTCTTTTCGTTCTTCCTACAGAGTATATTACTGATGCAGCCTTTTACTTAGATGCAAAGTCCTGAAATCCAAGATGGTTGCTAGAAAACTTTTACATACTGGTGTTCCAGCTAGAAATACCTTGTATACCACATTCTAGTAAAATATATTCGTTGTTACTTTTGGTGTACTGCAGGGAGAAATATAAAGTAGATACTTCATTTAAATCTTGTGCATAACACCAACTTCCATATTCCACACGGATATTAAAAAAAGCGTATAACCTAAGCTATCAGAAAAAAAAACAGTGATTTTACCCAGTTTTTGACAAGGAGGATAAGTGTATAAATTTGTTCGTTTGAAATATAATAATGACCACATGTGCTATGCAGTGTATGAAATTACGCATGTGGCCATGCATATACAGATTATATTCAACAGCTCTTTCTTCTTTTACTTCTAGTTTTCCGTGTACATAATATGACCAGACCACATCGACAAGGTACGTACAGGCATCATTGACCGATAAAGGACACTATACTATATCTTTTAACCTCTGTTTTAGTGCCCAAGTTTCCGAAAAAGATCCTGTTGTAATGTGAATGCAGTTGCAAATCTCTTGGAGAATCATGTTTGGAATGGGATAATCAATTACGTGCACTGCCCTCAGAAACCACGTCTTTCCCCAGAGTGTGAGAGACTAACATTTGAACAGTCTTGTTTCTATGCCTGCTCACCTAACCTGGGGCCTTGGATGGATAGATTTCTCGTATGTATTAACCTCTCTCTCTCCACTCTCTCTCTCCGCTCTCTCTCTCTCTCTCTTTCTCATATCAACAATTTTAACATTTTTTTAGCATTATGATGTCATTGATAACTTGCCTCTATGCGCCAGTCAGTGTAACAAGTGGTGGGACGCCTGTAAAGAGGAATACACTTGTCACAGGAACTGGATCGCTGAAATGGACTGGAGCGTAGAAGGTGAGTGACATCATCTGTAGAAAGAGTGGTTGGGTGGGAGTATGCATGTAGCACTCCATGGTAGCAATTTAGTTTTACTTGATGGTTAGCCATAAATTGGCAAATTCGATCTGAAAATTTAATTTTGTCAACTTTTCCCTAAATACTTTTTCTGTTTCATTTGTTAGATTTTTTTAATTTCAGTGCATTAAATAACATCAATTTTTTATCCTTTATGCCAATTTGGAATTGTCTTTTATTTGTTGTTTTACTCCTTAATTAATTGTATTTGCCAGAGAATATTCTTCCATATTGTCATATTTTGGAAGTGAAACCATCTACCTTTTTCAATGCTTTGAATTTTAAATTTTGGTGTACATGAACATGTTCACTGCAGAATCAGGCTTAAATAGATATATACGGTTTATGTGATGATGTGTCATTTACTCAACCTTATTACTTGAATTTTCATAACCTGAAAATCTCAACAAAATATATCCTAGGGTTGAACACCTGCAAAGAGGGCTCGGTATGTAGAAAATACACAGAGTTTTACAATTCATCCACCGAATTCTGCAGCACTTTTTCCAATGGCGGCTACAAGGTGGTGCCAGACTCGGAACCCTGCATGGTGTTCACTTTTGACACCTCGAAACCCAATCCAAATACAGCCGTGGCCCTTGAAGCAGCGACGAAATTGGTGTCATAGAAGACAGGGGTCCACTGGGGCTAAAATTCATTCCCCAAACCCACAAGGATGACCAGGCCTAGATGTTTTGTGAACGCTCAAATTCAAATAGATGAAAATGACCAGATGATTTTACTTTCTTTCAAGGGAATGCTCTAATTCTGTAATGTAAACAAAATAGTTCTTGTTTTAATGGTTGATCATACTGATTTCATGATTGGTTGCAAAACACACACTTAACTGGACGACTGTTGATGAAGGGCTATTTGATAGATCTCTGTCTCTGGTCTCTGAAATAAAGCAAATTTGCTTTCAAGAAGTAAATAAATGATGCGCTTCAGATCCGCTGGTTCGGGTTTCTTCTTCATAAATTAAAAAGGCCTTCGACAATATGTTATCTGTAGCAATTATAGATTACAGGCATGCACTGGAAATTCTTGTGCATACAAAAATATGTCGCAATTTACTGCTCTATTCTTACTCTTCTCTTTGCCGTCAGGTTTTATTTGAACCATCAAGTGCAACCCAATGGACATTCCCGCTGTTGCTGCCGTCATTACAAGTTATCAATAACAAAAAATTGAAGTCGAACCTTAACTTGTTTACGCACAGTGCAAAATAGTGTGATGTAGTGCACTGTAGTGGTGAAACAAAAAGTAAAAAGAAAGATACTTTTATAATGATGGAATAATAAATAACAAAACTCTGAAATATAATTTCATACAGAGAGACAAAAATAATGATAGTGAGAGACGTATATGAAGACAACGACAATGCAAAAAAGCCCTATAAATACAGACCTAAGTATCGTGGATTAAGTTTAGTTTAATTGTTTCATAATAGCTTAGACAATATTTGGCAACTTAAATTTTAACAGCAGCATATGACGTCCAGGTGATAACGGGATTGCGTAAAACAATACCAAGTTATCCAAAAAATCATTTTGTGCATGATGATTGAAACCTCGGTTTTAATGCCCCCAGTTCCCGCACNGTCTATTTTGTCTAGACTAATTTTTCAACCAATATCTAATAAATACATATGTACTAAAACGTATTTTGCAGCCTGTTAGTTCGAGATCCTGCCAACCCACTCAATGACCTGTGCAGTAAATTCGATGCATCCAGCTGGGACAAAATGCGCCAAGTGGTCAAAAAGACTCTAAGCATGCCATTGCTCAAGGGATTTTAGTCATGTCTCCACCCTGGGCAAGAAAAGATATATTCGGAGATTGTTCTTAAGCTACAAAATGCACCCAGGCGTATGGGATGCGATGACTTGTTAAGACCTAAAGTGAATTTGTAAACAATCGCTGTGAGACAGGTGACTGTTTTTGTTGATTTCTTATATTTTGAATATTAACAAATGTCCGAATATTGAGGATATTGTTATATATAAGAGTAACAAATTGTGCATTTTATCGACATTGATAAAAATGGCCTCTTTGGACCAGCTTTCTTGTTTAAATAAGATATTATATACTGATAATATTAAAATATATTCGTATTTACTCAGTGAGGGGGTAGGGAGGAGTTTTATATCCTAATATACGCCTATGAAAATTAGTAAAAATGATGAACCTAATTGCTGTCAAAGGGCCTTACTTTTTTTGCTTTTCACCTAGCTTGTACACTTTGATGGGTGTGGGGGGGTGGGGGGGGGGGGGGGGCGTAGACGCTTGGTAGAAGTGTGTAAATGATGATTAAAATGGATGACACCTAAACTATTGGTGTAAAGGAATATTCCATCCTAAAAAATTCGACCACTGACAAAATTCAGACGATATTTGATCGAATACGCGAACAGCTAAACTATGCACAAATGTGCCACGTTAGATGCAATATGTAAAGCATTTACAGTTCTCAGCTTCAGAGATAATTTTTTATTGTAAACTCTTTGTGAAAAAGGGATGAAATAAAGAATGAATTATTAATCAAGTACCCGAGTTTATCCACATACTGATCTACATGTAAAAGTAGAATGAACAGATGTACCCTTTTGAAAGATAAAAGATAATCATGTTAACTGATTGAATATTTGGTTTAAACTCATTAAAAATTGTGTTGTAACGTCTTTAATCTCGTAACACGCTATAGTTCCACACTTACTGCTAAAACTTAATGATTCAACTTAAGAAAAACGTATATAAATTCAATCCGGAAGCGTCAGGTGACAAAATGGCCCTTTTTCTTTTTTAATGTCAAAACACAAGGTGTTCGGATTTGCAACTCCATGCAAGGCTCTGTTTCCGGTACCACGTGACATCCGCCATCCCATATGGTGTTAAAGAAGTCAACAGCTGACGTAAATTTAGAATTCAAATATGAAATATTTAACATTAAAGAGTGATAGTTTGTTACACATTTATTAAGCATCGTTACGTAACGAACTCCATGTACCCAAAATGATACACACCATACGATTGCAATGTGCATTGTATTTAGAAAAATATGCTTCCAAAATAACTCCACCAGTTAAGATGGCGCATTTTAAGCAGTCAGGATGCAGATGAACTCCTTTACATCATTGAGGCTCTTAATATTTTGCACTTGTCAAGTCGTTTCTTTTCATTCCTTATCCTACCTAAACATAAGTGTCACAGTGACATTGCAGAACGTTAGACGTCACTTTTTCAATGCCACTAAACTAGCCAGAGTTACATTATGTTGATGAGTTCATCGAAACAAAAAAAAACACCAGCACATTTTGTGCTTCTTCTTCCAGTACATATGTAAAGAAGATGATTAATAACTTTAGGGTGAAAACAGTCTTTGTATTTGATTGAAACTCGTTGTTAGTGTCACCAGATTCTGCATGCCGCTGTTAGTAAGTTACAACCTGTTACTTGATATTGCCACGTATGATTCCCATGTGACATCACAGCTTATATAAATAAAGCCCAAACTATGATTACCTGGTACCGGGTATTTGTTCAACACGTAAGCGATCATGGCAACAATTCTGATTCTCTGTCTCGTATGCCTGAACATTGGAGTCGCGGTACCTCAAAACAAAACTAACAGTCTAGGCTATTACTTGAACAAGTGCGTAACCTTGCCAGTTGAAGGGGCCAGTAAGACGAGACCGTCCCCCGAACCCGGACTGGAGGTGAGTGAGAGGGAGAGAGAGAGAGAGAAAGAGAGAAAGATAGAGAGAGATGGAGTCTTTTATGATATCTATCTATCTATCTATCTATCACCAACTAAGGTCGCTTTCCAGGGTAAATATTGTATATTGTTGGAGTGAAAATTACCGGTTCAATTTAGTGTAATCATGTGTGAAACACAGAAGAATAAGGATTTAAATTGATGTCATGTAAATATAACACTCGGTTATAATTTTTTTCTGTGAGAGATGGCACTACTGCATGCCGTTTGACTTATGTACATTAAAATAACATTAGTTTGATAATATGGAAGCATTTAAAATTTGATTGCGTGTGTGTTTCACAAATAACAATATAACACTATAAGAAACCAAAGCATATACAATGCCTCACTGTGCATGCCTTGTCTTCGGAAAGACGGCTTTAGAAACTTAGGTCTTAAATTTGTATGAAGAGGTTTAAAGAGTTAAAAATACCTCTCTATGAAAGGAAAAAGTGTCACCTTCAATGCAATGCGTTAAATGATACAGAAACTTTGTCATTAACCAATAGTCTTCATTCAACTTATAAAATGATTTTTTCAAAAGATTTAACTGATTGTACAAACAATGAATGAACCAACGATAGTAAACAAACAAACAAACAAACAAAGTCATATTTAAGTATTTTCTACATTGTACAGTGCCCTTGGATTGGATGATGGACCTGACTCGTCTACGCGTGAAATCAATAAGTGTTTTAGGCTTCATCTGAATAATACATTATATCTTCATTTTTCATTTTATTCTTTTTTGCGTGGCAGTTGTGTCACATTCATCTCGAAAAGTAAAAGTTCATAATCATTCTGTTTGCAAAGATGCAGGTAAGCACGTTTGCAATAAAAGGCGATAAAAAGCAGCCTACACAAATATTCGACGTGTGTCAACCATAAGGTGTAAAACAAACACAGACAAAACATACGGAAAAAACGCAATTTGTTTTTACTCCATCCAGCACAAAACAAATAGTTTAATGCTGTCTAGGCAGCTACCGCTTAAACCACAAGACACAAAACATAGCAATACAAAGGGAATCAAACTGCAGTCGTCCGTGCTCAATATACTCTGCTATCTTGTAACTGCTATAGCTTGAACAGGGAGAAAGGAGCTATATTTGCATTTCAGCGTCGTTTGTGGTATTTCAGGGAACTGATTAAGAAACTTAAGGGTTGAACTGGAGCGAAACTTACACTACGACTACTAACAAAACCCGCACGAAAACGAAGTAGATACTCCAGCGCAGTAGACTACTGCAATCATACTGCAAACATGCTTCAAATCTGCTTCGATTGGGGAGCTAATTAGCATATTTGAAACATGCTTCTATCATGCTGCTAATCTACTGCATTAATGCTCCTCTGTACAACCCTTTCTAATTTTTGAAGTAGAATTGCAGTAGGCTATACTGCATTTCTACTGCAAATATGCTCCACACCACTACTGCGTTAATGCTTCTTTGCTACTTCGATACTACTGCATTTTCGTGCGGGAACCCACGTGCATGTACACCCTCACACACACACGCACACACACACACACACACACCTTTGGTCCATACGTTGTGTTTGTTGTGTGTTTAGATGGGGTGATAAATCGTTTTTACCTTATATTAATTAACACGCAAATTAGATTGAATTGCGCAACACCCCCCAGCCCTCAGCGAATTTCATTCACTGTTTTCCTGATAGCTGAGGTCCTCATGTTTCATTTTCTGCTTGTTTGCCAATAAACTGGTGGTGGTGGTGGTGTGTATGTGTGTGAGGACCGTTGCCATGGTACCACACATCATTTCTGAGACCAACACATTCTATATTTATACTTTACAGTCATACAGGCATACTTTACAGTTATCAAAAATTTCCAAGATGGTGGCATATTCAAGTTGGCGTCCTTTTTTGCTGATATTGCGTGATTTCAATAAATTTCATCACTTGAATTTCAATTTCTATATTTCACACAGATAATAAATAAAAGCTTACGACCCAGGCTATCAGAAAAAAACAAAACAAAACAGTTTTTGACAAGAAGGATAAGTGTATATATTTGTTCGTTTGAATTGTAATGATGACCACATGTGCTATGCAGTGTATGGGATTACGCAGGTGGCCATGCATATACAGATTATATTCAACGGCTCTTTCTTCTTTTACTTCGAGTTTTCCGTGTACATACTATGACCAGACCACATCGACAAGGTACGTACAGGCATCATTGACCGATAAAGGACACCATATCTTTTAACCTCTGTTTCAGTGCCCAAGTTTCCGAAAAAGATCCTGCTGCAATGTGAATGCAGTTGCAAATCTCCTGGAGAACCATGTGTGGAATGGAATAGTCACTTACTTGCACTGTCCTCAGAAACCACGCCTTTCCCCAGAGTGTGAGAGACTAACATTTGAGCAGTCTTGTTTCTATGCCTGCTCTCCAAACCTGGGACCATGGATCTATAGATATCTCGTATGTATAAAACTTTGATGAATTGCCTTTTTACTGACTCTTTCTCTTTCACCACTGACTCTCTCTCTCTCTCTCTCTCTCTCTCTCTCTCTCTCTCTCTCTCTCTCACATATCAACATATATTTTATCAATTTTTCAGTATTTGGATGTCGGCTATAACGTGCCTCTATGTGCCAGTCAGTGTAACAAGTGGTGGGAAGCTTGTAAAGAGGAATACACTTGTCACAGGAACTGGCTGGCTGACATGGACTGGAGCCCCGAGGGTGAGTGACGTCATCCGGTTAATGGGTGGTTGGGTGGGAGTGTAATGTTAGTTAGTGACAGCATGCAGCGAATAAGAGCGGGGAGTGTTTTGTAGTGTTACTTTAGTTGATTGACACGACCTTATTGTACTTAAGCGAAGAATGTAATGTAGATGGGGAGAACGATATAAGAGGTTGAACGGAGAGGAACAAACTGTAGATAGCGTAGTTAGAAAGCGATAATAAAGCATATGGAAAAACATGGAATTGTTTAGTTGTTACCTCGCGCCACCAAGTCAAAGTCAGTAGCGTCGTCACAGGAGTATACATGTAGCACTGGTGGCAATTTACTTTTACTTGAACAATTCGATCTGAACATTTCGTTTTGTTAACTTTTCCTTGAATATGCTTTTCTGTTTCATTTGTTAAAATTTTAATTTTAATTTCAGTGCACTAAATAAAATCAAATTTTTATCCTTTAGGTAAATTTGACAGAGTATATTCTTCCAGTTCCAGTCTTTATTTGATAGTTTTAAAACAACATTCAATTAGAAGTCAAAACATCATCGTTATTCAATGCTTTATGTTTTTTAATTTAGTGTACATGAACATGTTCTCTGCCGCGGCAGAATCAGGCTTGAGTCGATATATACGGTATATGTGATGCGGTGTCATTTACTCAACCTTATTACCTGAATTTTCATAACTTGTAAATGTCAACAAAAATATTTCTAGGGTTGAACACTTGCAAAGAGGGCTCGGTGTGTAGGAAATACACAGAGGTTTACAATTCATCCATCGACTTCTGCAGCACTGTTTTCAATGGCGCCTACAAGGTGGTGCCAGACTCGGAACCCTGCATAGTGTTCACTTTTGACACCTCGAAACCCAACCCGAATGATGCCGTGGCCCTTGAAGCTGCGAAGAAATTGGTGTCACAGGAGGTCAAGGTCAACTGAGGCTGAAGTTCCTCCCACAGATCGACCCAGTAGGCCAGACCTAGCTGTTTGTAAACGCTCAAATTTAAATTGATGAATAATAACCAGATTTTAATTTTTTTCAAGTGGATGCTCTCATTCTGTAATGTTAACAACAAATATCTTGATGATTGTTCATGCTGACTCCATGCTTGGTTGCAAAACACACACGTCACAAAATTATTATACTAAAAAACCACGACGGCTTTTGATAAAGGGGTATTTGATAGTTTGTCCACTGGTCTCTAAAATAATGAAAGCTTGCTATATACAAGCAAATAAATGACACGCTTCAAATCTGTTGGTGTCTGGTTTCTTTTCCATAGAATCAAAATGCCGTTGGAAAATATTCAATTTATTCAGAAGTAATTAGTAATGGCAGTCATATGTCTTTAAGGCGGCGGTTGTCGATAGTGTGAACTACTAATAGATGTCATTAAGAGAATGGCTATTTTGTTTTTATCTATTATTTAAAAGGCAGGGTGCCACCCTGTAGTTTTTGGCCTCCCATTTTCACGGTCACCTTTGACGCCAATAACTTTTTCATTTGAGGGATTTCACTATAATGCAAGTAGTAATAGAAATTACGTATTACATTGTAGCCGGGAATTACCGTAGAGCAATATAATACAAGTCACACTCACAATGTATCTGTACTACATTGTATATGTGCTATAGTCGTGACACTTGTCGGAATCACCTAACATATATCCTTTTTTAGCGCGAATACTGGTTGGCATCAGATTTCATGAACCGTGTCACTATGCATTAACAAATGACCTAATAAGAGTAATACATTTCAAAGCATTCTTTCAAATCTTAGATCAGAAGAAAATCTCATATCATTACTTTAAAATTGCGTCACTTACCAACTAGAAAACAGAAGTCCTGGGGGTAAATACCCAACCTTTTACGCGCGGTATGTGCAATGTCGTAATTTAATACTAAAAATTTATCAGTCAGTCGGACCCTGCCCTCATTGACGCAAATCGAAGCTAGATTCTATTGATACAAGGTCAGCACACACCTAGACACAACAAAAATGGCACAGGGAATGCAATGTGTATTTACAAGGGCTCTTAGTGAATCTGAGGTTAACGGTTTTATTTCGAGATACTTGCAACCGGATGAAGACTTCTCCAGTTCCTGCAGGGAGGCCATCGATGGACTGGTGCGGTATCTACAAAAAGAACTGCCCATAAATGTCCGTTCAGTGATAAAGGTACATATTTGTTCATTTATTCCAGGGTTGTTTTACAAATTCTCTATTTTTTAATGGAGATAGACA